CCTACTTCTATTGGGAGGAAAATGAAAATTACTTCTGCTTGTTACTTAATAACAACTTGTAACGATGAAGGAATCAATAAAAAATGTTTCGCTGGAACAATTTCGTGCGACCTTTTCCTTAAACAAACAAAAATAAATGAATTTTCAAAGGCCAAAAATATAAAACGATAAGAAGATTATGTGGAACGGAGATGACATTGGAAATTAAGGTTGTTTTCTTTTGTAATTTCTCCCTTCTCACCCTAGGGCGGGAGTGGCGACGTTAAAAATGTATGTTTTCTGAAGTTGCTGGCCGTTAGGGGGACCGCTTTCGGATAATTTAAGGATAAAACGACAGTATTCTTTGTGATGGGAATGAAAAATAGCACGAGATGTCTTAACATTATAAATTAAAACTAAATCTAAACATATATCGTCCAAAGTTTAGTTCGATGAAGGAAAAGCACTAAAGTTACTGTATGGAACGTTTTATATACATGAATCTATAAGTTTTCTCACAAGTTCTTAATATCTTTAGCACGGGAATGTTTGACAAATAATTTACTTGTTCCATACACCATTCTCTATTAATTTTTAGTTAAGATTTCACCATAACCTGCGAAAGCAGAACTAAAATTTATCCGTTCAAACTTAAGCATAAGTAAATTATGGAGACGCTATACATTTTTGAAAGATATTCAAACCACTTTATCAAGAATGCATAAGGTTTTTGCCACCAAAGCATATGACGGCTCCGGAGGGACCCAGAGCAGCATGTAATTAAGTGCTTAAATAGTAGGCATTTTTCGTTTAGTTTCAAGCAATTAACACGCCGCGGAGCCTCGTACCGAAATATTTTCGCGACGCGTTTTTACCGCCGTCGGCGTTCCACGTGTCTTTAATGGTATTGGGGACAAAACAGTAACCGCCAACTCGGAGACGGCCCTGGGATCTTTAAATTTGTCCATGTTAAAGGGAAAAGTTTTGGCTTATTATAAATCGTTATTATTGGTCCATTTGGTATGTGAAAATAACAATTTTAGTAAGCTTATTCTAGTAAGTAAGAGTTTTAATTTGAGAATTCAAACATAACATAAATGACATAAACGTTTAGGTTTTTATTTCTCTTTTTTCGAAGTTTACTCGTTAAAAACAGTGAACTTAGAGGCTAGGTTTACATTACAAAGTGTTTATTAAGCGCGGATCGTTTTAAAATTCGATATGTTTTTACATTACGTTACACTAAAAATGATGGCTTCGGCTTATTGAGACTATGATTCAAATTACTGCCCATAACGCCACTTACCAACAGGTGAGATTGCGGTTAAACACTGGCCGGTTATATAGAAGTCGCTACATTTTTTCTTTGTTATTTCATTTTTATACAACAACTGGTCGTCTAAACGTTGTGTTGTGGGTAATTAAAGCCAGTCGCGGGCAAAAACACGCGAACGCAACGCGCGGCTCCCGCCCGACATTCGCGTTTTTTCCGCGCCCAAAAACGCACCGCCCGAGCCCCGCGAAGCGCAATAAATTAAGCTGAGCGGCGAACGCTCAATAATCGCTAACGTTAAATAAAAACATTAAGGTCCGTCCGAAATAATCGAAGGGAAAGAAGCAATTTTGGACCTATTTGGCGACGACAAGGGCCCCGCGACGTGAGCGTCCCGGCCCAGTCTCCGTGGACGAGTGGCTTTTTTTTAGCCACGCGTTTCACGTTTTGTGACGAATCGCAACGTGCCTATATTTCAATTTAAATTTTTCAAAAGACTTCGCAGTTCGGATTGATATAAATATGTACACATCGACGGAGGAATATAATTTCCCGAATTTTTTAATTTTCAGACTTTTATTCGGCGCTGTTTTAAATAAAAGTTTTTTACAGATTTGATTGTTTTATTTTATTTTATACCCTTGAAGTTTTGGACAATTTAAAGCATTAGATTTAAAAGCTTATGCGTAAAATATTTGGTATTTAGTAAAAATAACATTGCTTCACAATTTCATTACTTTTAAGGTACTCACTAAATGATGAGGTATTTATTCTATTGCCACGTTATATATTTTTAAATGAGTAACTTTTACATAATATTTATAGGTGATAAATTTGGTTTGATTCACATTTAGTAAAATATCGCTGGAATATTCTATTGGCTTCTACAAACAGCTGAGGCCTATTTGAAGGTCAAGCCACGAAATGGGCGTTTCAAATACTCTCGCAACTATCAATTTGATAAAACATTATACCCGTAAAAGAAAAATTTTATAAATCTCTATTTTCGTTAAAATGTTTTAGGACTAGATATTAATGTAAATTTTGATGTTCAAGAAGATATCTGCATGCAGCATTTCATGTGACCTTTTCAGAAAATTAGATTTTTTATTATCTTGGACTAACTAGTACTTGACTATACCACCTGATGATTTAAATGGTGATAAACACTAAATGTAATAAATATTTAAGGACAAATTTCAAAACATCGTTATCAAGTCAAAAACAAAGCGAAGCGAAACTGTTTATATTTTAATAAACGTACTATCGATGGTCTTTATATTCTATAAAGACCATGAAAACAGAAAAACACTACGTTCATCACATAATATTCTTTTACAAGTGTGTATCGGGGACCCACCGGCGCAAGAGAAAGTTTACTATGTACTATGCCAATAGGGTCATCGTTCAGCCGTCGGTGTTACTCACAAACTCTGTAAATGCCTAATTAGTTTACTATGTACTAAGCCAATCTGGTCATCATTTTTTTTATTTTTTAGGTTGTTGGTGTTAGTTACAAGCTCAGTAAACATCTAATTCATCTTTCCTTGAAGACATCCACTAATGATAATTATAAATCGACTTTAATTATTTTTATGAAATCTTATGTTGCCCGCCGATTTCATGGCCCACGAGTCTAACGTACACAAACGTGACGTAACTTTGAGTTGTGGTAGTTTCAACGCACAACAAATATTGTTAAGGCGTATACAGTAAATGTTTTTCAGGGACAATTATTTAAACACTGCCACGCTAAACATTGTATTGACAAAACTCTATCATTAAATGGATGCTTAATTAAAAAAATGTAATTTTCCATTATACTGTAGAGAATGTAAGGAACGGGCATATAAAGTTGAGTTATAATGAAACAAGTAATATTTTTTTGCTCTTATTAAAAACTCGAAGAAAAGCTTTCATATATAAAGGATTCCGTAAAAAGCCTTACCTTTTGCTATAAAATAAATCACAGAGCACAGCTTAGATGAGAGTAAAAAATTAAGTCATAATTTAATATTTGATATTCTGTTTGGAAAACGATTCATAGGAAGGTTTCATTTCAAACCGAAGACTGTGGCATAATTGGCAATCTTATGTGTGCCTACTAGTCAGAACCGTTTCTGGTTGCACCGTTAATGCAGAAAAATATATGATGAGGTTATTTATTAATGACATTCTGAAGGATATGGAGGACGCTAGAATTTTAATACAGATACCTAATAACAAAAACAAAAGAGTACAAACAATATTTTTTTATGTAAAGTTTGCAAGCGAGCAGGCGGTTCACCTGATGCTAAGTGCTAACCGCACCCACGGACCGTTAAAAGTAGATATGTGTTACAATGCTTTTTTTTTGATGAATTTTAATACGAAATCTAGAGGAAGATTCACAATTGAATAAAACAGTACAGAGGTAGATTGGCCTCTAAAAACTGTATTAAGTACGCAGCGGGATGTCGTATCGAATATAATAAAGTTTAATCGATGTTCTAGAGAATGCGGGGGCGGTGGATTTTTGTTCGCACGAGCGAAATAAAAATCCAACCGTAAATCGGACGTGACGCCGGTGGAATGACGTACGTTTAGCAGAAAGCGGACGGAATTAGTATTCGTAAATGCAATTTCGCTGCAGCATCACGGACGGATGCGGAGGGGCGGTCCGAAAGGGGTGGCGGGGTACATATTCATCTTGTTATGTATGCGTCCGGATGCGCCGGCTTCGCAAACACAATAAGAGCCTTCTTGCCTCTTCCTTGCCTCTTCCTTACCCCCCACCGCCCCACCTCACCACCCCCCGCTCTTATGGAAAACTTATTAGAACACGGCCCGCCGGGGAATCCTTTTTCCTTCGGTAAATATTTGAGGGAGAAATTAAAATTTGACAGCGGACGTTCCCCGAGTAACGAAGGACGCGGGGGTCTATTCTATATGCTCGTATGTGATACTTGAGGCGTAAAATGAAATTTAGATTGAGTTTGGACTGGCTTTGCAGTCGCTTTGTGAACGGGGGAGGGAGGATATATAGAGGAATTAGTACCTAACGATAAATTGAAAAGCAACATAGATAGAACACGTCCGTTCTCTTTTTCTAGTTTTAAAATGGAGCTCGCGTAATTGTCGCATACCATAACACCTTTCCGGCGCTCCGTAAATAAACAAGTTCGACGCGAGAGTATACCCGACAATAATTCACACGTAAAACCAATGTAGTGAAAAATGAGAAAGCTATGGGACGTGATCCGCATTCACAGGATCACCCTTTTGTAACGAATGAGATAATTCGCCTCCACGCGTCTATATGTTCCATATAAGCGATACGTTGCCATGATAATTTCCGCCCTAAAAACATTGCAAATTTCGAGGGAAAACTTTAATATCGTGTAAAAACTGTTTGGTCGTTAAATAAAATATAATTAAAATGGTGCTCAATCCTTTTATCATATAATTTCCTACTGGATACGATTGTCGAGACGATTTTAAACGTTACAATACAGTGCTCGGACTATTTTGACCTTGTTTAATCTTTGTCTAATCTATTATATCTATAATAAATCCGAACATATCGGGGCTAGTCGGGCTCATAACGCTTTAATGAACGCACTTAACGATAATGTTGCAAAGTAACATCGTTAAATGGGAAGCCATTCGCCAGTCGATCAGGAAATTAGGTTAAAAGCTGTGCCTCTGAAAGGTGATTACGTGAGCTCTTATATAAAAGCATTCAGGGGTAATGTCTTGGCAGTAATTAAGCGGTGGGCGGGCGGCTGCGGAGGCTGCGCGGCTGGGCGGGGTCGGCGCATGCGTTGTTACGTTTAATTACTCGAACAACGATCTCATCGGCGCCTCCGCGTTGATTAGGGCGAGGGACCTTCAGTAATAGGTACAGCGAAGGGACGTGATAGGTTGCCGATGCCTTCAGTATACCTACAGGGTAGGTATTCAGTTATCCACAGAATCGGAACGGTCTCTTATAAATATGGGCATGAATATAGAGCGTAGCATGAATAGAGCCGCTCAGTGTCCCGGTTCAAATCTCTGTGCCGGCATCGATGAAATTGTTAGTTTTTAGTGCTGATCGGTGCTCAGTGAAGGAAAACCTGCATATTTTCGAAATAATAACAAAATAAAATATTTCCAGGATATACGAGTATGAACCAATTTTGTACGGAGGGGGCCTGTACCTAGCAGTGGAACATATATAGCCCTTTACTTTACTTTCATGAATATCGTACTGCTTTATGCTCAATTGTCAAATTTTCGCAACGGATCTTCTGCGATGGGAGAGAGGAGGGAGAAAAAATTATACAGATGAATGAACTGCCACTTCCTCAATTATGCAAAGCGTGCGTGAATCACACGCGCGGCGAGAGTTGGCAATAACACGACGAGGAGCGTACTTAGCGAGCGTTCGAACGGAATGGACTCGAAATCGCTCAAGATAAGGGGGCTTTATGGGCGAAATGTGGTGGGCGGGAGTGCGGCCTCAGCGGCATTAAGGCGCGGGCTTCTTAATGCACGCGCACTGCGACTTACGTAGTGCGGCTCCCAATTTGTTTTGCATTGGCGACGATTTTATTCGCTCGCTGTGCGAAGCACCCGCTTACCGAGCACCGGTCGACGAAGACGACGATGCTGATTACAAGCCCCCATTGCCGACGCTTTGGTTAATGTTATACGCACTGTAACGAGATTTTATCTAGCTCGGTTCAATCGCTTTTACCCCTGTCGCGCAAAGTCGAAACGCGCATGTAGACATGTGAGTACTAACGCAATCAGATTACAGTTTTCCTAGCCCGCGAAAACTTTGTATTTTCTGCGATTTATGAAAGTTAACATTGTTTTTAGGAATGAAGCCGATAAAGATGAAAAAATATAGGAGGGACTTTAAACTATTTCTTTCGCAGCATCGACGGGACATGAATGAATTTCATGATCTTCATAAAATAGTAGCGGTTATTTATATAGTCTGATGGTTGCGATGGTGATTGTAGTTTAAAAGTAAAAGAATAAGTAAGGTAAAATGTCGTTTTTAAACTGTACTAAAATCGCGTTATATTATTAAAGCTTTATAGCCTAGTTGAGAAATTGAACTTATTTTGATTATAATTACAGTTAAAGTTAGTAAAAGTTACAGTTATCTATTGAAGACTAATAGTTAATTCGAGCTTACCGCATTTGCTTCTTACTGCTACCATTATTATAATGACGTCGTATTGAGTAACACATAAGGCGTGTCGTCTTATACTTCAATAGGTTATTTAGTATACATGAATATATTTAACACGCGCGTTGCATAAAGACTAGAATGGCATGCATAAATTTGGCAGATGGCGCGGTTGGACGCGTGGCGCACCGTACCAATGTATTCGCCACACGGCATGTGCCGAAACTAAAAATAGGCCTTTTCGAGCCTCCGTCGTCACGGCAAAGGAGAAAATGCCTAGCGGCATATCTAAATAGTATGATTTAAATAAAAAATCGTAGCACGCGACGCAGTGATCGCACTCATGTAAATCGATCGCTCAAAACCACGTCACGTAGTGAGGAAGGGTGCATATATTTTTGATTTGTTCCCCGTCTCACAATTTATATTTCGGCCATTTCGCCTCTGACTGTACCTGGAGTATTTGTATAATTACGATTGTGGCTGATTGTACAATTGTTGTGAGCGCTATTAGCGATGCGTATTTGTTTTTGCGTTTGCAATAATGTCGTCTAAAAAATTGATATTTAAATTTCTGCGACGGATTTTGTAATATTGGTCTATGTAAATTCCAGCATTATTTATTGTTTTCAGCAAATAAATGTATGCTGTGAATGAGATAGGCGATATCATTGCTAAAATTCTCCTACAAAGGCAATATGAGGGCAAAGGTGAAACTAAAAAAAAAAAAAATAAAGAGAGACAAAGAATCGGTGTTCTTAGTAACGATATCTATTATATATATATATATATATAGAACCATATTGCCTACGACGATTTAGAATCACAGGGGAATACACAGAGAGAGTGAATATCCTAAGAAAGTTACTTAACAACACCGATAGGTGCGAGGCAGAAAGGAACGAGAAAATCTAATCAGATGCCAGAGGCTTGACCCACATTGTCAATAATAAAGCAGGCAGTGGTGTCGCAGCCGGGCTTTCGCCGCACTCAATCAACGGGCGGAGGCGTAGTTCCACATGCCCCGTGGACCCCAATCTATCTCCGTATCAGTCGATCTCGATTTGCGCCCGAAATGAGCTCTCCAGTCAACTACCAGATGAGTTTACCCTCTTAGTATTCGCAACGAAAGTAGACCGATATGCCTAATGCTCTATACATGTCCCCGTACGACGGCATGCGAAGGAGGAGAATCGGTGGTGGGAAATGAGAGGAACGTCAATGATCGAACGCCATGCCTATGGGAATAACTTTCGCGGGGGTTACACGTGTCTTATCGTCGAATTGGCAATTCGATTCGTAGTATACGTGTATATTCTTACAATTTAATATATTATTCGCGAGGATATTACGTCTCGTAGATCATGTGATTCTCGAAAGCTTAATATTTGTATTGGAAAATCTTTCCTCATTCCTACCGTACAGAGTTAAGTACTGTTATATTAATTTGGCTGTCGTCGATATACTGATATATAAATGCCAAGTTCTGAAATTTCCTAATGAGCTTTGAATGTTCTTATTTTGTGTTTTAGCTAGTGAGTGAAATCAATTATAAATCTGGGTAAGAAAGAGTTTTAGTAAGAAAAGTTGGTTTTTAAATTATTGTTGTACTTGCAGATTTTATTGCGATTAATTTTAAATTTAGTTTCGAGATTTCCAGAACACTTTTCAGAATCTATGTTTATAGTATAGACTATTTAAAACATTGTTAAAGTTCTTACTTTCATAGTTAATCCAGCCTTGGCCAGTCAGCTGATGTCAGATTTTGTATTCTTTAATTTTGGTATGATCTTTGCAGGATGAGCTAAATATGCCTTCAGCTCTTTCTTTTTTGTTGCGCATGATTTTTTTTTATTACATTTAAGAAATATGAAATTTTGATGATACAAATATGGTTTTATTTAACAGTGTGCTACAATCGTGTAAACAGAAATCGTTAGACGTATCGTAAATTTATTGTTTTTATTATTAGACATTCTATTCCATCTGTCAACTATTAGGAAAGTTAACATTTTTTGTTTTTTTGTCAAATTTTTAGGCGCATATAAATATTTACGATAATAACGTTAACGTGTCAGAATTTAAACTTAGCAATATACAAATTACTTGTATGACATGTTTGTATTAGCCGTCTCCGAACATCAGAAAATTTATCGCGTGATCATTTCAATGTAATGACATGCGTCTACTGTTATCATAACTACACTCAGGAAAAAAGGGCATTTATTTTTCGAGAAGCTATTAATTTAATGCTCCCACAAAAATTATTTATGGTCTCGGATAAGCAATATCGAAATGTATATCGATTACATGTATTTGCTTACGGCCGTTAAGCGGTGGATTTATCTAAAAAGATCAACAAAAACATTGCGCACTAACCCGGGCCGACGTCGTAAAAGACCCGAGCAGTGCTACGGGTAAAGCGACACAACAAAAATACTTTATTTATATGCTAATGTAATTTATATGACGCTTAATATCTCGTGGCTGGTAACGCACGATCCTGTTCCATTCTTTTAAACCGGGCTCGCGTTGGAAACGGCGCCTTATTTTGTTCGCTTTAGAGTGGTATTTGGGACGGGCGTGACGTATGTGTCGATGGGATTATGAATGCGCGGTAGGAGGCAGCTTCCAGCCCAACTTCCTCGGAGGCGGTGGGAGGGGGTGGCGGCTCTGGAGGAATTAATAAAAATACGCGAGAAAATCGTTGATTATACAACGGGAATTCGGTTGAAGGCAGCGCTTTCAATAACGCTACGAATTATTAAGTAAATAATATTCCGCTACGTTTCTATATTTTGATATGTTTCACTATTCCGTTTATGTGAGCTTAATGTGATTTACGTCTTCAGTTGTACTTGTCATATTTAACAACTTAGCTAGTTTAAGTGAATAAATGTACGATTACATATAGTTATTATTAAGAAGGATAAGTTACATTTTGCTTCACTTCTTAAAGCCATATGAGGTACATCAATTTAGCAATTTATAAATAGTTTTACATTTATCTTTATGCTATAATAAATGGAATACAATAGAATAAACCTGTTTAGCTTATAATTCATTATTCTTCGTACTATCATTACTTAATGCAGAGAGGGTATCCATAAGACAAAGGGACGTAGGTATAATGAGTTGGATATTAGATATTCAAACGAAACGAAACCAGTCCGCTGCCGAGTGATGGACATTGAATCTGTGCACTGTACACCATTTGCATAAAAATTCACCCGGTTCGGAGTCCGGGACGCGTCCGTTTCTCATGCAGATCCCGGGGTTGAAGATAAATACGCCGATATGAGGGACATCGCTAATGTATCGCGGGCCTGAATAACAAGGAGCATCAGTAACGAAGTATGCCCCAAGCCAACATACGTAATTATGTACAAACGATGTTTATTTGTCCATACATGACGAGTTTCGCTATTACCGTCCGTTAAGTTTCTTTTCTACCTTAAGTTTCTTTGGGTTAGCTTTGCGCATTATTGTGGTAAACAGTTGAAGAGATATCTTCAGATGCCTAGTAAGGATATTATATAACGTTTTCAAAATTTTATTTTATAAATGCCTATAATTTGGAGGGTTATTTCATCATGTCTTAGAAAATAGGAAAAAGATCTCGACGACTCCTTTATATTTGCAAAAGTTAATAATTTACTTCATCTGAATAGTTTGTTTGCAAAGCATTAGCTGAGTCAACATTTGATATGAATTATAAACGGACTCGCCAAAACTTGTCACGGGCGCGACGTAAAAATGACACTCATGAGTGTTTACTTATCTGAAATAAAAAAAAGAAAATATCGTTTTTATTGTGTCGCGCCAGTATTTTAAAATTTTATCATCGAATTAGCTCGAAAATTATGTTGTCGATATCCTCCCAATATCTGTCCGCTATTGTTTATCGTTATCGCTTCAGTTTGCTTTAAGTTGCGGATGCGGGTTTGTGTAAAAATATCCCGTTTTCGCAACAGTGCGTGCCGAATCGATTGTCATTTCTCTTCACTAAAAAGCTTTTAATATTTGCATCACGGCGGATTTAAGGACCTATAAATTTTCGTCATTAGGATAATAATAAGAGTTGAAGTGGTGTCGCGGGAACAGGATGTTATAACGTCTTTTGTTCAAACGTTCGTAACTCGCATACAAATGATCTTGAAAATTATAATACACGCCACCTACATTTTTCTCAATAGACATTTTATCGAGATTCTTTACGTGACATCGATTTTATTGTGTCAGATCGATATCTATGCATATGGTCCGCATCGAAAAGATGGTTAAAAATTCGATTAACTTAGGCTTAATTGTAACGATTTATTTCAATTTTATGTGAATTTATATTAGTTTCAATTTACAATTCAATATTATCTTGACGAATGAATACTGTTGAGCGATAACAGATCAACAAAATCACTACAAGTCACCTAGCGTATTTTATATCATTTGATTTACATATAACTATAAAGGCCTACTCGCATTCAGG